CCACCACTACCTTCCAGGCCCAGCACAAACAAGACTGAGGTCCTTTCAGGTCAGGGGAGTGATTCAACTAACACAGCTTGCAATGAAGGTAAGCACACAATGAACAGCCTGTTGTTGATACAGTGGCTGGGTTATAGATGTATCTGTAATGACAGAAAACTGCTGTTGGAGTAGGTTCCTCCAAGACAGTAACAGTGAAGGTGGAGTATGCCTGGATGTTTTAGACTGGATATTGCCCAGGCTGGGTGGTCCTTGACCAACACTGAGAGCTGATCTAATGACCAGCAGAGATCAAATTATAATATGTGTGCTGAAGCCAGATGCTGATATAGACTCACTTCGCTGGATCAGAAATGGAAGCGATCTATAAAAATGCTAATCATATTCCACAAACCAAGGGGAGTGTCTTATGGGTTTCAAGCCGTTTTCCGTGTGATTTATGGCTAGATATAGAAGAAAGATGTGAATAAAGAGCACTGCTTTTTGCCATCCCTAGGATATCCTAGTAGTGTGCCTTGCTTATACAGGCCATTTTCCATCCAAGTCCTTTCTCTGTTATAACATATCTTGCAGATGAAAGGCTACAGTAGTAAATTTGTAAATTTAAATTTGTAAAGTAGTAAATTTGGTGTTTAAACTGTTCTCATGCCTGTGAGACACCTGATACAGCATGGTGCAAATTTAGGTCTTGTGTTCTTTGCACTCATTCTTCAGATCCTCTCCCATGTGTTGGTTGTAACCATTCTGATATGGCAGAATTGAATGTCTGTGTATAAGAAAAATGGAACCAATGGGTTGGGAACCTTTGTTATTAGAGGTGAAGTTTGAAACTGCCTCAAGATGTTTGGGGAGAAAATATGGCTATCACTTCTGTAAGCTCCCATTTTGAAACTCCAGCGTCCCAATTAGAAATTCCTTCAGCACAGTATTTTTGTGTATTGCTGAGGATTTCTGCAGGCTGCTGAGGGTGTGTTATTCAGAGAGCATGTACCACTGTTCTTACCAGTGATGAATTGAATACGGGAAAGCCTCTGATTGAAAAAAGTATTACAGACACTGATCTGCTTAGGCACTATGTTGATCCTTGTAGGTTCAGAAGAGGACGTGGTGGACAATAAAACCAATCCTCAGACAGGTGTGCCTGTCAGCAGCTCGCCTTGGCTGTCTAAGGGATCTGCACTGGCACTCCAGACTGCAATGAGTCTCATCTCCATGACGTCACCTCGAAACTTCCAGCTCCACAGCACTGCTTTGGCTCCATCATTTGTGGAGTTTGACATGTCCATGGAAGGATATGGGTATTGCTGCTGTTGCTTTTCTCTTTAGCGGCTCTGCAGTCTCCAGGCCCTTATTCTGGACACAGGAACTAATCACTTCTCTCCATCTTAGTCAGTCCTTCTGCCCTGTCACTGCTTTCCTTGCAGCAATGTTGCCGGCCTATTTTGTTATCGTCTTATTGCTTATAGCCTAGACTCTGCCTTACTACCGTGATTCTGCAGTGTTAAGTCACTGATGACCTTCAGGGATGATTTTACGTTTCTGATGAATGGGTGCTTGCTTGCTTTTGTAGGTGTTTATACCTCCCTACCTTGGCCACTGTCATGGGACCCAGTGCAGAGCAATCTGTCTCAGGAGGAGTTGGCATGGGTAAGCACTTTGACTTACCTGCACCTTCCTGAAAGCACTGAACTTTTCAGCCCCACTGAAAGTATTCAACATTTGTAAGAAATGGCAGCAAATAAACTGTGTGTTTCAATACACTTCCATCTCTGCAGTCCAGCTCTGAGCTGTATAACTGCTCACTAAAATGCAGTATCAGATGCAGGTTAATAGTGTGATGCATTAGCATTAACATTAGCAATACAAATTTAAAGCAGGCTGCTGAGAAGACAATCTTAACAAGTAAGAGCCACCAGATTTTAGGGTCATCTTCCATGGAAGGAATAAAAACTGTCACTTAACGTGAAATGGGATTCTCCTGTAGATCAAAATCCTCTCTTGGGTAAACTGGGAAATGGCTGTACCTTTTGCTTCCTGGATTTTGTGAACTTTGAGAAAACTTGTTTCTGGCTCGGTGCTTCCCAGCTGATGAGCTTTGTGGCATGGAGATCTAGTAGTCACTTCTCATCAGTCAATTTTAGGCCATTTATACATATGCATGCATTCATATATGCAGTCTCTATGATATTGAAGAAAGTAAAATATAATGGAACAGAAATTAAGCCTCATATTCTAATGTTGGTTCTCAAACGGTTTGGGTGACAAATGAAACAGAAAGCAGTTTGCTAATGTTTGCCCAGGGAAACCATCTTCCTTACTGCCTTTTTGTTTCCTGTCTATAGGCACTAGAACGTTCCCTCCCTCAAGTGGCCTGACACTCTCCTGCTGGTTTCTGGTTAGCAAATTTGGTCTGGTGCACGACAGTCACCCGCTCCGTTTCCTCACGGTCATGAGGCACATGTCAAGAACAGAGCAAGAATTTTGTTGCTTTTCAGTAAGCTTCTTTCCACAGGACCGTTCTTTAGTCATTTCCACGGAAGAAGTGGAATTCCAGCCACTTGGTAAGGCTCTTCTTAGTCAATCTGCAGCGATGTGTCCTTTTTATCTCTTCACTTTTCTTCCGGCAGCCTTGTTGTGATTGTAATTCTTGGTTATATTTCAGTTTTAAGTTTTCTGTAGGCATTGAGAATTATTTTGTGGCCTGCAATATATGTTAAAACCTATAAATATTCTAAAGAAAACATTTCAATGTCAGTTATACGGTTGTGTGCAGTTGTGGGGACTGGGCTTGAACCAGCTGGTCCCTGCCTGTTCTGTGTGGCAACAGACAGGTTTGGAGAGTGGGACTGAGGAGTTTGGGAGTGATCTGGCTTCCTAATCAAACAGCTCATTTCCTCCCCTCATTTTTAGAATGTTTTCTATCATGCCAGCCTATTAATCTTTTTTTGCTGTTGATGTTTATCCTTTTCTCCTTATTGAGTCCGTTAGGTACTTCAAATGTGAATGTGAACATTTCAGAGGAGGTTGGGAATGGAGTGGGAATAGTAACTGGGATTTTTCATGCACAGCTCACATTGTGTGAGTGCTCTGATTCCCCTAGATGTTAAAAATCCCAGCTTGCCTCCTTCCATAAAAAAGCCTACAAATTAATGTACAGAGTTTTATCATCTCATTCGCTAGGATTTTTTTCCTGTGTCAGCTAACTCAGTGACTATCCTGAGGGGCTCTTTTCTTAGAATGTGTTGGCTTTGTCCTAGTTCAGTCTAGTTTTGCAGCATTGAGGCAGGTAGCAGGTGTTATTTGTGAGTATGGCACATCGTATGCTGGTGGGATCTTGAGAGTTGTGCAAGTCTCAGTTCCTTATAATAGACCTTCAGGGAATGTTTTAAAGACATTGAACAGAATAGCACCAAATCAATCTATACCTACAGAGAAAAGCGTTCTTTGTGTCACATTTGTTAGCTGTATTCCAGAGGCAGTGGAAGGTGAGAGAGACTTTCTGTTGACTGCCCCCTGTTTTTGCTGTTACAGATATCATGGAACCTGAGGGTGAGGTCCTAATTCACTCCCCATTTCCAGGGCAAGTCCAGTTTGGCTGTGGCAAGTTGCTGGTCCCTGGCCAGTGGCATCATCTCACAGTGACAGTTGCTAAGGAAGCAAAGAAGAACTGCATTGTGTCAGCTTACATAAATGGTCAAATGCTTGGCTCTGCAAAGGTAAAGGCTCTTGTTACACCCACTGAACAATCCACTGATGAGTCACTGGCCTTTTTCACACTGGCACTCTAAGCATTCAGGAAGAGACAGATGTTACTATGAGTTAGTTGTTCAGGGTGTAAGATAGCTCTTGAACTAAAACAACAGTGCTTTTTCAAGTTAATAGAAATGAAAGAAGTGTTTCAGTTAGGAGAAATTTGTAAATTTCAGTGATGAGTTCATTGCAAATGTTGATGTAGCTAGTATTTCACCTGATGTGCCATTTCTTGGGACCTCCTTGTTGCATAGGAGTCAGTTCTCAAACGGTGAATTTCTCAGGTTGCATGAAACATCATGAAAAACAACCTAAATGTATTTATATTATAATTATCATCGTGCTCCTGGTTTTGAAGCTCATCTCAAATTATTTCTGAGATTTGATTTTTGGATTTTGAATGTTCCAGGCTGTCAATGTTGAAAATGCAGACCATTTCTATTGCAGCACTTATTGGAGTGGTTGGTTTTTTTGGTTTTGTTTTTGAATAGAATCCTTTTGTTAGCTGAAAATTGTAATCTTGGTCTCTTCCTTCTTGTTCCCATATTTCAAGTCAATCTCAACACATGCAAAGCTCACTTGTGTGTTTTGTACTTCCCTTGTAAAAGCAACCTGTTTAAAGCAACCTGTTTAATTCCAAATATTATCTTTCCCATACTTGAGAAAAATGATCTGTCTTCTAAATGCCTTTTGGGACCTATATCCATTTCAAGAATGAAAATTTAATTTAATTTGCCTTATTTCAAATGAGATGGAAAGTCATCAATAAAACTAGGCCTAAGCATCACAATTGATTAAAGAATTCACAGCAAATGTGTTTAACGTACAGTGAAACAGCTCATAATAAATACAACAAGCCTTTAGTAAATAAAAGATGGTCCCAGTGCTGGCATCTCTGATGTGATGCAAGCCTTCATCTTGATGTGCACAGTGAAGAAAAGATTGTATAAGAAATTAGAATTGGACAAAGGTGGTTAAAAATACCAAAAGCTATTTTTGGGTGGTGGAGCTGGGGCAGGGGTGGATTGTTGGCTTACTGTATTGCATCAAGCCTAATATTTATTCGCTCAAATACCAAGTCCTGCTTCCAAATATTGACGTGTTAAACAGTTGATTGAGACTTTATTGGGGCAAGAGGCAGCAGGCAGTACCTTCCAGGGACAAGACCTTAAGATACTCCAAGTGTATTGGGTCCCTTCAGTGAATTCTCCCTCTGTTGCAGATGCAGTATCTTCAGCTCTTACCAGGTAGCTGTATTTCCATGGAACCCTCTTCCTTTATTGATGTCTATGGGTACATAGGTACTCCTCGAATTTGGAAACAGAAGTCCTCCTTGACCTGGCGTATTGGCCCTACATACTTGTTTGAAGAAGCCATCTCTGTGGAAACCATGGAGGTGATTAATAAACTTGGCCCACAGTACTGTAGCAATTTCCAAGCGGTACAGCTTCAAGGTATTTGATAATTCTCATATCCACCACTATTTGTTTGTCAGGGCAATGCTCTTTTTATTCCTATAATCTGCTATTAGTATTTCAGCTGTGCCTAGAACTCGCTCTAAAAGCCTGGAACTCTGTGTTAATGAGTGTTGTACAAGATCATAGTAAGATACCATGAGGATCTTGTAACATACTGTAAGTTAGGTAGAAAAAGAAGGGCAGGAATCAAGCAGCCTCGAGAGCTGGAGAGTAAAGAGAGATAACATGTCCTTGAGGAGATGTACGATTGCAATTTCTGTTGGACAAACATTAAACCGGGAGCTTTAACTGAGACATTCTGCATTTGTGGTGCTACAGGAAAAACACAGCAGAAAAAGCATCATCATCTTTAACTGCAAATGCCTGCAGAGTAGGAGAGAGCACAGGGGAGGGAGGGTTAGGGGAATAAGTTACATTCCATTTAATGAAGAGGCTTTTTAACTAAAGTATACTGTTAGCTTCAATTCTTAAACAAGCAGACAAAACATTTCAGTTATTGATTATTGTTTGTTCAACAAGTAGTGCATTCACCTCTGTGCTAGACCTCAGGATAAAATGGGATGGTCATCTCCCATTTGAAAAGAGCGAAATAAACTCACTGTCTGAAAGTATTCCTTCAGAATGCTATCTATCTAGACCAAAAAATCTTCAAGTCAAGCATGGGAAGAGGTCTTTGAAAGAGAAGTTGTATCAAAATACAGCCCTAAAATAAAAATATTACTAGTAAAAGTCAGAAAGATTGGATTTTTGAAGTCTTGAGTCTGTATGAAGTCTGGGATGTTTGTTCCCTGCACACTGGTCTTCCCAACTGGACTTTAGTACTAACCATGGACTGTGGCCATCTGACTCCAGCAATGCCCTGATACAGGGAAATCACTGGGCACTATACAAGATGTGATCTCATCATTGTGAAATGATTTCGACCCCCTGCCTCTTTTTATCTTTTTTTGTCTTTTTTTTTTTGGAGGGGGTGGGGAGAGGGCAGGGAGGGTAAGTGGTACCTAACATCTCCCTATTCAATCAAAACACCCAGAGAAACTTTTCTAATGGGAATTTTGACTTTAAAATGTTTCATCACAAAACCCAAAAATACTGTGGTTTATTCCTTAAAATCGATTTATGACCTTGTTGCAAACAGACGTTTGAATTGTTTCAGTAGTGTTGTGTCCCATCTCACCAGTGTCTCATTGCTTCTCACTGATTAGCAGCAGCTGTGTGGAGGGTTAGCCATAAGTCCCTGTCCAACTAGAAGGGAAATAGATGACACAGTCTTGTGAAATTTACTTCTAGTTAATCTTCATGCAGAATAAGTGCTGATTCTTTTTCCCTATAAGGGCTGTGACACCAGCATTAGTAAATGGTTTTGTAAATCAACTGTTTTCCCAGTCTATACAATTGTCAAAAACACAAGATACTTTTTTCAGAGAGGTACAGGTATTTTTTCCAAGTGCGAGCAGGAACAGAAAATTCTTTAAAGAAAAGCATGTGAGAATTTCATACAATCATTAAACTGGCGAACCTGGTACTTTTTAGAACTTCCCGTATGTTGTGAGTTGGCAGCTCTGAACTTCTGCCTCTGTGCTTTTTCTTCCATGTGAATCCTTGCTCCTAGTACCCCTGAGAAATCTCCCAGTAACATGAAAAGCCTCAGAAATGTTTTCTCTGCCCAGAAAGTTTATTTATATTGTGTGGATAGAGAAGGGTTTATTCTGGATTTCTATGAGCTTCATGAGATACTGAGGGAGGATGTAGGATCTACACAGAGCAATAACCAGAGGAGACAAGCTGAGCACATCTCCTGTTGGTGCTTACACTGGCAATCTGCCAGTGTAAACTGTGTTGCAAAGGGTGAGGGCTTTTTTCTGACTATAGTTAAGTCAAAATCAAATTCCCTTGTAAACCTTGGTTTCCTCCAGTTATTTTTCATCCGCCTCTCTCCTGTCTCACATGTTGAGCGTGCAAAGTTCTTTCAGAGGTTTATAGTCTCTCTTGTTTCAGGTGAGGACAAGTACAGGGGTCATAATCCTACACCTCTGGTGGCAGAAGAGAAGATTTCTTTTGGAATCAATGCCATGTGCTCATCTCTTACTACAGTCCAAGATATAAAGAGCTCCTACAATGAAGTGGATGGCCGGCTGATTGCCAAAGAGGTCACAAGTTTCACTCATTTGTCTTAAACATGTTTTCTCTTGTTTCTGATTGGTTTCCTAGAGCAAAGTTTGTGTCTCTGTCTTAGTTGTGTACCTTCTGTTGTTTTATTTTTTTTCAGATTCACTTCCTATTCCTTAACTCCTTTTTACTCATTGTTTTGTTTTAATCTGTGGAGAGGAATAGATTGGACAGTGTGAACACGATGTTAAAAGCCTTTCTTGAAACAGCAACAAAAGCCGTGGATTTCAAGCCTAATGACAATTTGTTTCAGTCTGTGATTTCTTAATGCCTTCACAATGACCTTTCACATGCTATTCTAGCATTCTTGCCAATGCCAGGCCTGCTGATATGTCAAAGTAATGAGGTTGTGAGATATTTAGGTAGGTGAATTTTTGTCCTAACAGTCAACCTTGAAGGGGAAAAAAATGGGTTTTGTAGTCTAACAGTAATAAAATAATCAAAATTATTAGAGTGTCTGCTTGTTACTTTTTGTCTCCCCAATACCACCACAGTTTTTCTTAGTATGTTTCTTTTATTTGTTTTAGATTGGGATTAACTCTCGGGACAGTTCAACTCCAATATTCCTAGCTAAGAATATTGCTGGACACCTCTCAGGTTCCTTGCGGACTATTGGTTCAGTTGCTGTGGGCCAATATGGTAAATGCACACTATGCCTTGATGTTTCGTGTTTTTTAGGAGTTGGGCTTTTCTCTGTTTGGTAACAGATTTAGTCCGTGTAACTTCCAGCTAGAATAATGCTGCCATTTTCTAGGGGTAAGAGTGTTCCAGTCCTCTCCAGCGGCTACTAGCCTGAACTTTATTGGAGGCCCTGCCATTCTCCTGGCTCTCATTGCTATGGCCCGTGATGACCACACCATGTATGCAGCTGTCAAAGTCCTGAACTCCATCCTGAACAGTAGTCCAATGAGTGAAAAACTGATGAGGCACATACGTGGATATCAGGTAGATACTCTTTTGTTCATTCATTCTGGTTATAGTATTTCCTTTGGAGAGCCTTATCCCAAAACCTGTCAGTGACAATGAACCAAGCGTATCCTGGGTATTAGCATTTATGGTTGGAACTTTGTAAGCTGTGAGATCTTTGAGAGTGGGACATAGGATAGTGTTCTAAATCCGGTGTTTACAATCTTTGGGAACCTCTATAACAGTATATTTGCTGATGGGAAGGTGAGGGCAGTTGCCTCTTGCTCAGATGTGATCTAGTAATCTAAAAAAGTCAGTGCAGCAGATTCGTGAGTGACCCACCCTTCATCTTTTACCGACACGTTTGATCCCTCCCACAAGAGACCACTTCTCAGGCAGGTCTGCTTCCTCCTTTTGGCTCATCCAGCCTAAGACTTCTCTTTACAGACTGCCCAGTGTAGGGCTGACAATTAATCCCTATGCCTCAGTTTTCACTGTGTGTTAGGAATTATGCTAATACAAATAAGTGCTGTCTGGATTCCATTGATTAGATCTGTCCTAAATTGATCTTTCAAACGTGAAAGCTGTGCAGACCAAAGAGTTTTGATGTATTTAAGCACTATATACATTAAATTGGATGGGTTAAGGCTCAAGTGTGAAGTTTCAGTTCAGTATTATTTGCTTTATGCTGCATAGGCTAAGCAGAGTCTTATGGAACAGTCTCTTTAACAGAGATGGTTCCAAACATGACTCTTAACATTAGGGCTTCATGAATGTTTTATTATGAACTTTCCATTTTCCCAGTTTGTGAATTGTTCATAAATTGATCCTGATTCATATTAATATATTTATCATACTTAGATCAGCCTTTAGATTGTGTACAAGCTGTTCCTTTCAACTTTGTGCTAAATAGTGTTCTCTCAACGTGACTGATCATTGTGGTGCAATGGAATGGTTTTGCTCTTTGTTTGGATGTCTGAACTCTTTTTTAAAACATCTAACTTATAAAAACATGTCTTTATGTATTTTCAAATCAATGTCTATTCCTCCCAACCTATTCAAAATGTAGTGGCTTCTGAACATTTTTCTCACTGTATCAGGAAATAAATTGAATAATCAAAAATAGACTCAGTCGAGAAACTGGCAATGTTTCACACAAATGTCTTTCATTTGAAGTGGTCAACATTAATATTTTTTTTCAAACTAACACTATTTGCAAGCAACTAGGAACACATCCATGAAGAATAGTGTGGAAACTTACTGTGGTTATTTTCAATTATATTTGTATGTTGCTTTTTGTACATTCCATTCGACATAATATGGCATGTATTTTGTTCCTGTTCATGCGACAAAGTTGTCAAATTCCTTCAAAAACTTACCCTTTCACTTACTGCACAAAATTTTATGCCTGGACTGAAATTTTCACTTTCTTCTTGATGCTTATGTGAGATGTATGCATGCATGACTACTACAGGCAAGTAAACTGCATTTGTCTTGAATTAAAAAATAGTGTTATCTGTTAGTTTATAAATACAGATTTATACTCATTAAGTCTTTTTCTTTTTTTTTTTTTTTCAGTTGCTGGCCTATCTGTTGAAGAGGAAGACACAGCTGTTAAACAACAGGATTTTGCAGTTAATGTTCTCCCTAGTGGGCACAGCTGAGCTTGGCTTTGAGTCTTCAGTCATCAAGAATTACAGTGCATTCCAGGATGTTCTCTGCAACTTTGAGGTAAAGCTGTTGATGTTACTTGTGGGTTTGGCTGTGTTAAAGGTTTGATTTGTTCATAGCTGGATCTAGTATTTGGGATGGGGTGGTGAGTGGTGATTTTCCACACTGGGCTCACCTGGGGAGGCGGTAGGTCCTGGAATGGCAGGTCCACTATCACCATGGTTCCCCACTGTGCTCTGGTGAAGTTTCTGGAGTGTTCCTGGAGACCTTGAGGGCCTGCTCCTCAATGCTAACTCAACAGCAGCAATTCCCCACACTGACAGGGATTTCCCAGTGCCTGCAGGTTGTAATTGAAGAAATGACTGAGAGTGTATGGTATTATCCTCCCTGAACTACTTGTAACTGTTTCTCTGCCACAGGTTACTGTCCTCTGAGCTCAGCAGAGCAGTAAAATCTCTGCTTTCCTTTGTCTTTCAGCTTTGGATGAAAGCACCTGAAAATCTTGACCTTGCTCTTTTTTCACATCTTGTAGAGATCTTACAGTCCTCCAGGTACATAAGCTAGCGTTTGAATTGGAAACATGTGGGACAAGCTCGTTTGTAACCTGAAGCAGGAACTTTGAGGTGGATATGAAGGGTCCAATCCTAGTTGCCATCAGTGGACTCTGGGAGTGAATCATGCCTATATTGCTCTTTCAAAGCTGGAGTTAGTGATTTGATAAGCCCATGAGATGACTGTGGGGCCAGACTGGGAAAAGCTATCTGGTGACTTGGTTCACATGGAACCACTGCTGTACAATAAAAGTTTAAATGTGTGCTAGGAAGGGGAAATCTGAATTTTTGAACTGAGTATAAAGTAATTAAAAAAATTATAAGTGAAGTTGTGTTTAAAACCAAAACACACCCAGGAAGACTTTTTTATAACTATAATTTCTTAATCAGCTGTACTAGAGTTAAATGTATATGAAGGGCTGAATAGAGCAGGATGCTGGATACCTTCTTTTTAGTATCAGAAAGCTCTATGCAGAGCTGTCTGGTGTCCCTTGCTGAGTTTTACAAGAATAGCGTTTATTACCACCAACACACTGCTTGAAAATTCAATAATGTTGTTTTTTTGAATTAATTGAAATGCAGCAGTTTCCAAAGGAGAGGGCAGATGGGAAGGGTAGAGAACACACAAAGAAGTTTTCAGATCTCTATCGCTGACACATATTGAATTTGTCTGACAGTGTTTGAAATGTTTACAAGGGAACACTAGAAGCCAAAGGTGCAAAGTATCAGTGCAACCTGAAAATCCTTTTAGCTGAAACCCAGCAAATTTTGTTCTTTCCAGTAAAAGCTTTTAATAGTCCCTGTGCTTTTTTACAGATATGGATGTCAGAATGCTGCAGTTGCCTACCAGGTGCAAATGGTGCCCAAGCTCATTTTCCTTTTCAATGATCCTGAAATCAGTAACTCCAGGATCACTGTGGCCTGCACTATTCTCTCCCATCTGTTGCAAGGATATTTTAACACGAGGGATGTTCTCAGGTAGCCTTCAAGTCTATAGCTTTTTCTCCATTTGCAGATGAGCTATACTCATGCCAGTGTTGGAGAGAGCTCTATAGTAGAACTTCACTCACCTCATCTTTGGTAGCAGCCCCCAGATCTTTGGCAACTGCAGGACCTCCACTGATTAAAAACTCTTACAGGCCTTCAAAACAGAGTTCAGTCAAACCTTGTCTTTGTGTAAGGTGATGATGTTTACAATGATGGCACAAACAATTCTGCTGGTGTGACTGGGACTACTCAAAGTCTGTACTTAATATTTGGTTTCGATAAAGCCTGTCCCTAAAAAAAAAAGCACCTAAAGTAGTTACTGTGGAGTAAGCTAATATGTGAATTTACTGCTTGCCAGCTGTTTTGTGGAATTACCTGTATGTATGTTCCTACCCTGGGCTTGTACGAGTTAGCCTACTCTTTTTTCATACAGGTGTGAGTAGTGTATTAAGTATATCAAAAGTGTGAATGAGCATGTTTCTTAAAATATCATTTCTTACTCCATGGTAATTTGATTGGTTGTCAGGCCCATGAGTGCTGAGCAAGTGGATAAAAACAATCCCTATCCTTCCAGCTCCAAGAGGGCAGAGACTACAGCAGGCTCTATGCAGCACTGAAAGGTGCTGGAGTTTCTGTTGGTCCCAGATTTTGGCACATGTAATGGAAATTGCTGTGTGGACCATTCCTGCAGAACAAGTGGTGTTCTGTCCCCTAAGAAATGCCCTTCTTGTGGGGAGGAAGTTATGCACTTTCACTGTGTGTATGTCACATTAATCTACCCGTAGAACCAGGTAATGTGCTAAAGCAAACTACAGGTGCAAAGAGATTCCCAGTCCTCCGCCCTGAGTAGCTGCTGAGATTTCTCTGCTCTCCTCTATGTGCTTGGAAACCAAGCGGTGGTAACAGTAATATCTGAATGCCACAAGGAGTTCAGAATCTTTTGTATGAACAGAGTGCTTAACTCAGTATTGCTTTCCTCATGGTGAAGACACTTAAAGTCCAGAGATAAAGAGACAAATATTTCCAAAGTAGAACAGATATTACTTGCATTTGTAGTCAGATGTCCTTTTCATTTGCTTCCTAGTTTATGAACTTTTGCATTCCTGTTTCAACCCCAATTTCTGCAGCCATTAGAATTACCAGTGGTTGTCATTAATGGTCATTGTTAATGAGTGTTGAGATTGGCATGTAATCTCAAAGTACTTAAATGAACGTCTGTCTTTCTGCTGACTAAAACTGGTTCCCTCTTTCTCTGCAAGGATTGGGTTGTTCCTTGTTTACACTTTGAAACCTTCTTCTGTGAATGAAAATGAGATTTGCATGGACAGTGTGTCTGAGATGCCCAGTGAAGGTGAGAAGTTACCTTTGGTGTTTGTGTTCCAATAGATAGCTAAAGTACTTGCTGCTTCTGCAGGTCATGAGGAACCCTACAGGCAACATAGTGCTTCTGCCTCCAGTGACAGGATGAGACACAATTCAAATTACTTCCTCTGGAAAGGGACAGGCTGCATTGAGGTGACCTGAAACTGTGGGGAAAACTTACATTGCTACAAAGGCTTGATGTGAAGAATAGTGAAGTGACAGTCACTCTGTATGTATTCAGGAAGGCCTGACCTGCAGCAAGGTCCTTCCTCTGCTATGGGAGTTCATCTTTTGTCCTATCTCTGCTAATAAGCCAGCAGTACTTTGGCTGTGTTGTCCAGAGCCTACACAATGCTGGATTTCACAGATACACACAGGGATGAAGGCCATTAAACTGAAATTGCGCCAAAGCTAATGTACTGGGCTGTTACAAGGAATAAAATTTCAGTCGGTGTCCTGGATTTTCTGTGAACATTTTACTACACTTACAGTTGTGGCAGATAATAAGGTGAAGCTCTGCACCTTTTAAATTATCTGTGAATTTATGTCAGCTTTGTTTATGGGAGCTTCCAGTCATCTATCTCTTTCATTTTGATCTTTCAGTTGAGACTCTATTGGTTATTGCAGATCCAGACAATATTTTTTATCAAGGAAACGCCGGTAACTGTACTTTATATATATAGACACCACATTTTGTCAATACAAGTCAAATTACATGTTTATGTTTCCCTTTCTAGTTAACCTGAGATTGCTTCCTCTGGATTACTATTCAGTGTGTATTCTGGATGAGTTTTAAGTAACTCTAAAAAGATGACTTTGACAATGTAAGCGCTGGTCATTTCTGGTATTAGCAGGAATTCTTATGTCTAAAATCTGATGTCTGCATCTTTTTACCTTGCAGAAGATTGACATAAATATTTCCATTGGGCTAATCTGGTGCAAACAAGATTGTTCATCAAAACAATGGAACATGTGTTTTGTCTCTTCATTACTCTTTATTACTTTCTGATATTTATAGCCTTAAGCCAAACATCTGGAAAGACAATCTGGCTTCGAAACCAGTTACTGAAGATGCTGTTAGATGTAATGCGTTCAGACAAACTTCATCTGTCCTCTGAGTAAGTAGAAACAATTTAAGAAGGTGTGGGTAAGTGTCTCTGTCTTCTGTATTTCCTCTTTACTGGTGTTTGTCCAGGACTAAACACACTGATAATATTTGAGTCTCAACAAAAAAGTAAGAGCAGACTGGATTCAGACTTATTTTTTTTTCAGTGATTTATCTGGCATTCACACAGATGTGTGATCAGATCACACATCTTATCTCCATTTTGAAAAAAATTAATGTTTTCAGAGAATGTCTCAAAGGAAGAACTTGGATATTGCCGTTTCTTCTGTATTGCAAGGGCTGAAGAAATCCCAGCTGTCTTTGAAAATCAGTTCAATCTAGTGTGGGATTACTTGCATCCCCTCTATTGTAGTCATGAACACGCAGTTACTATAGTTCTACCTTGTATAACTGAAAGGCAGAGTTCATAGTACTAGGTGCTGTAACTCCGTGTTTTCACTAGTTAACATATCTTGGACTTCAAAATTTAAAACAGAATTTTGAATTTCATTGTTTAAAAGTTCTAGTCTGTGATGTAGTTTACCTCAGTTATTGATACACAGTCTGTCTTGGTGTCAGGACCACCACCACCACGTGGTCGCAACACCGCCTCCCCCCCCCCACTCGGTAAGATGGGGGCAAATAAGAATAAGTGGAACCTCCTGAGTTGAGATAACGACAGACTTTTAATAATACCACACGAGGAAAGCAAAAGAAAGAAGAATATAACAATAAGACAAGATATAGAGTACAATGGAAACACTGATACAATGAAAATCTCACCACCACGAGCTTCACAAAAGAGACCCCTCTCCCGGCTAGCTTCCCCTTATATCCCGGGCATGACGTCAGCATGGTATCGAATATCCGGCTATGCCCAACTCCCAGCTTCTGCGAAGAATTAACCCTATCCCAGCTGGACCCAGGACACAGTCTCAGAAGGAGCTTCATGTTAATGAGCCTTTTTGTCAGTAATATAAGTTTGGATTTAGTGGGAATTAAGTGGCTTGAACTGTGTGGACGAGTCTGTTGTTAAATGTTCGTTATTCTGTGTTGCAGTAAACATTTAATCAGATTTTTTTCTAGAGAAACTTGAGCTTCTAAATCACTTAGAGATAATTCTAAATAAAATTGCCTTTCTGTCTTTCACCATGTCTCCTTTCATGTGCTTTCATTTCCCTATTTGTCCTAGGGAACAAGAAGAGACATTTCTGGCACTAGGGCCAGACTGGTTTCTGCTATTCACACAGAGTCACCTGCACTCTAGCACGGTTGTGCTAGGAGTCAAGCTACTTCTGTGCTTCCTCCACAATCGTTTGCTGCTGAGCAAATTCCAGGAGGGGGTAGTGGCTGGGCGCTGGCTGGAAAACAGCTCTGCGGGATTGAGTATTCTAATGGGTATGTGTTGGTTTAATGCTTGATCCAACTCAGTGATAGGAGATCACTGAAGCAGGCGATAGGAGAACTCCCACTAATCCCAGCAGACCAAGAATTTATATTACTTTCTAGGGCAAGCTTGTCCTAGTACTCCAGATTTTCTGTGCTGAGGAGTGGAAAGCATTGCTTCTCCTTTGCATGATAGTTGGCATTTCTGATTAGCAGTTGCAGGGAGAAGACAGGCCTTTTTGTCTGGCATAGTATCAGGCTAGTTGATAAGCCTGTGAGGTGTTCAGATGTTAGCTTATGCCCTGACACCTTCTGTTTCTTTAAGATTTGTTCAGCTTACTTTTTGATAACTAGACCTGTGTTTCTGAGAAGGAGAAGAGAAAGGAAGAAGAATAATTCAGGGAGAATCTCCTCTAACAAAAGTGATAGTGGGAAAAAATGTTATCTTTTAGTCTGAGGAAGTTTTGTGAACTGGTGATATTGCAGCCTAGCAGAGTACTGAGTAGCCTAGGACACAGACAAATGAGGATAAAGTTGAGTCAGTAATCCTTCATCTGATATGGTATCCATTTTTAGAGACTTCCTGACAATGTTTTCCTTTTCTTTTCCTTTACAGATAATTTAAAAACTCATCCTCCAGTGCCTGACAATGGCTCCTTCATGATTTTTGGGTTTTCTGTGTTGCAAAGATGTCTGACTGATCATGTCCACATCCCTGAGATCTACTTAGTCATGGCAGGGCTCTTTCTGGCAACTCCACAGTCTGAACCACCTGAAGCAGCGAAGGTATGAAAGATATAGTGGACAAGCATGAAGCTGCTATTGCTTTACTGCTTTCGGCATTTTGTGGCCTCTTCTTTGAGAGGATTCTCAGGCAAATTAACCCTACTTGGTCTTTGTGATAGTTAAAATTAGTCATTCATACTTTAAAAATGAAGTAAGTTAACTTTGATTTAAGGAAATTTGTTCAGAACAAACTTATTCATGCAAGTGTTAAATGTCATGTAACTACTGCACTTCAGAAGGTAATTCAAATTAGCTTCCCTGTCTGTTCCTACTCTGTCAAGATTCATTAAAATCTCAGAATTAGTGGATTTTGGTACTTTCCCCCAGTGTCCTGAGAAGCCATAAGGCATTTTTGCCCTGGCAGTGCCGAAGGTACCTATCAGACGAGGACAATCCATTAGTGCTATCCTGGGGAAATGTATTTAATTGAAGAGGGAGGAGCTGCTGGGGGTGAACATATTTTGGGGTTTTTTCTGATTTGGAGAGAGCAGGCGTTGTTCCTGACGTATCATAAATAATTTCCATCTCTTCTTGAAATATATATCTTCCTGTTGTAGAAAGATCTTGAGTCTATGTTGCAGTGGATCTTGCAGCACCACCTTATGGAGAATGTCCTCAAAACTGGGTTGTGTGCAGAGGCAGCTGCTCTACTGCTGGAAATGGTTAGAGTCACCGTGGACAAGGTAAGTGTTTTGTTGCAAGGACAGTGCAATGTGAATGGCAGAATAAACAGCCTGCAAATGTTAGATGTCAGTGGCAGTCTTTACCTGTAACCCTCAGCCTTCCTCTGCCTAACAGTGAGCAAGGACTTCAAAGCATCAGCACAGCTATTGGCCTGGCTATGTTACATAGCAGATGATGTGATGGGCTCATGTTTAAGAACTTCTGCACACAGAGGTGGATCTTACCCACAGCATTACCCATTTTGTTCATTCCTGATGATGAGGATATGCCACCTTTCTGATAGGGTGTAGCTTCTGTCTCCAAGCTGGGAGTTGGCTGCTTCTGCCCTGCCTGCCTACTCTGTGGCCATGTCATGTTTGCTTAATTGTTTAGGAGTACCTAAAGAGGAGCAAAGATGAGCTTATATGAGTGAGAGGAATGCTGACTTAACTAGATGCACATTTGTCTGTATTCAGCCTATTACAGATGCAGAAGCCTCCTGGGAGATTGCCTATCCAGGGAATGTTATCCAGTTTCTGTGCTTGATCTATCACAGTTATACTCAGGACCCCATGTGGCACTGTCCTGCCTTCTTGAAAACTTTGGCTATGGTTGCTTTCCATTCTGGACCACCCAAGGTATGTGCATCTGAGCCAGCATAAGCCCTTCTTATCAAAGATGCATTGCTAGGAGGAAAAATCAGTTTAAAAGATATTAGTTAAAATGCATTGCTGTCTGCTTCCACAGGGAGGCTCTGAAGGCCTTTCGTCTCCTGATGGTCCAGCCATTGCTGAAAAGAAAGGTTGTGTTGATCCCTCCTCTCTCCCACTCTTACCACACCCTGCCAAGAAACAGGTGTGGGATTTTGTGCAAGTCCTCCTGATGGACAGTCTTCTCAACATCCCAGCAAGCAAACAAGGGCATCCACTTGAGCTGCTTCTTGAGGTATCTCTTGCAGTCATCGGGCTTTGATGCTCTACCTTGCACAGGGGGTGGAAGGACAGGAGGTATCCTCCTAGTGGCCTAGTGAAAAAAAGGTGCTAACAGTGCTGAAGAGGTGTATACAATCAGCTTTTTCAACAGTCTAGGATAAGTCTGGGATCACAGCTCTTCAAGAGCATGCACTACTTCCTGACAGAATGTAATTCCTGCCCTTTCAGCAAGGAAGAACGGACTTTTCTGCTTGCTCTGCATTTATGTGAACTAAGAAAATGCTGCCTCTAGACCAACAACAAAGATATTTTTCAGGCAACATTTAACATTGAAGTAAGGCATAAAAAATTTTCCCTTAATAATACCTGCTTGTCATTAGAGCAGACCTTGAATTTGTTGAGAACAGATTTCAGGTGGAGTATTCCTGTGTACTGTTTTTTGAGACAACAATTTATTTTCAGTGCTGAAATAGAACAAAAGCAACTGTCTCCCCTTTTTGGACAGATTAATACAAGCTGCAACAGCTGACTCTAGGTTGTAGATTTCAACCACTCAAAGCACTGGAAATAGAGTAGTCTGAAGAAAGGGAAAAGGGAAAATCGAGCCTTCAGCTCCGAATTGTCAATAGTCCAGGTGTCCCAGGTGTGAGTTCTGATGCAGACTTAGCTTAGTAATACAAATAGTAATGAACATAACCTTGACTGCAAGTGTCATGAGTTAAACTGTCTTGCAGAGCAGCAGTTCCCTAAAGGCTTAAATAATAACATCCCAAGGCTTGCTACAGTTTAAAATTGGAGGATGGCTCTTCTGACTGTCTGAATCCTGAGCCTGTTAAATGAAGCTGAAATTCCCTGAGGGCAAGATCTCTTGGAAACCACCTGTGAACCTCTAGGTTCTGTCCCAGTGTGGAACCTTGTTTGTGTTCAGTGTGCAGAGGGCAACTGTGCTGGCTATCAGCTGGAGAGTGTAGACCTATGTAAGATTTCTCATTTTCCCAGCTAGGGTATGAGATTCTGCCAGATAATCAGCCCAGTAACTGTTTACTCTTGCTGAACTCTGTATGAGAGGTGCCATGTTGCCTTTGCACAGAGAGAGTACACCAGATCTCTGCATTTATGTGTTACTGTGGACTAGCTGTCACAGGTAACTTCTGAGCCTGCAGCAGCTGTTTCATATGCCCACACCAAGGACTATAATGTGCAAGTGAGGTGGAGTAGTTGACCTTGCTGGTTTTGTGCTCCTCTTCCTAACATAGTATCTAGATATTTAATGGAAATCTTGGGGATTTTGAATTATCTCGGTACTGAGTGTCTCTTGGAATTTCTAATGACTTCTTTGAGCAAAACTTTACTGAATCTGAATCTTTGACAGGTATAATCTGCCAAAGATCCAATGAAATCAAAAGCCTTTGAATAAAGGCTGAAAGTGAATTTGAGTCTCATTTCCTGGCTGTTTCCCTGCTGTACTTATATGTATACGGTCACTATATAGGCTTCTCCAGAGGATGCCACCAGTGAGGAGAAGAGACATTTTCAGACCAAAGTTTTGCTGTCTGCTATGGATGTTTTCCATGTTACTAGCCAAGACGAGGGGAAAACAAGACCAAGAGGTAAGTGGTGAGAATAAGATTATTAGCTAGCTGATATTTGTGATGTAGTTGCAGTTGCTAGAAAGGTTTGAAAACAATAGTTAGAAGGACAGTCCAGCTCAGCAGACTGGACTGTCCATTCACTCCTCCTGTAGGCCAGTTTGCATACATCACTGTAGTTTTATAATTTTTTATACAGACCCCCTTTATTTTTTTCTCTCTCTTTATGAGAACAGATTCTGAACATTAAAAGGAGAGTACTTGGAAAGAAATCTGTGTTTATCCTTGAGTGCTTCTGGAAACAACCCCGATAACTTAGTTGTTGCTACTCTCCTTTCTGATAGGAGAGTTGGACCAGTCCTTCATAATAGTATTTTAGTGAGATTGATCCTGTCCTTAGGATGGAACCATCGTTTCCAGTCTAATTAAGGTATTTCTGCTAGACCTAGTGTTTTCTTAGACATGTCCCACCTCTGAAACATTATTACATGAGACCGTTCCTTCTCAGCTCTGGTAACCTCACATCTCATGTAAATTTTTTTTTTTGTATCAGTTTATTTTGACATAATCAACCCTCCTGTATCCTCTCCAGGCAGCAGTGATCCTCATGGCACTTTAGAAGCAACTGCACCTGTATCCATGATGAATATTGCTTATTTTGCTCAGAAACTGGTTGAGAAGCTGAACAGTGGAATTTTTGCTGCTGACCCAAAGCAAATCCTGCTCTTCACTGCCAAGCAGATTATGGGGGTGAGTCACATGAAAATTTTCTTCCAACTGTTATCAACATGTTGTAGTGTGCTCCGTTTCACACTGAGGTCATGACACCACAATTCTCAAGAAGTTGGCTGTAATCCATTTGGTGATTGTGATTATTCCTGTTTTCTTGCATGAGCACGTAATGGTTCTAAATGACAATCAGAGCTAGATGGTGCAACGTGAAGAAGGGATAGTTCGCTCTTTTGTGCCACTGTCTGTTGGCTATGTACATGTTGCCAAACAGGAATAAATTAATCTCTTCCAGAATTCTAGGGACTTCAGCAGAAATACAGGAAATTTGAATTTGTATCTAACAGGTAGTTCAGGGGAATTTTGCTGAAATAATTTTGCAATAGCTCAAATGAAGTAAGAATAGTGGATCCTCGGGGACTGAGTTCTTTGAGCAAGCCAAGTACTCTGCTGTTTTGTGTTTTCACAGGTCTTAGAAAGCACCGTTTCTCAAAAGGAAGTTTTCCTCAGTGCCCTGTACAGCTGTTTAAACAGAGCCATCCTATATTGCCTATCCAGATCACGACAATCACTGCCTGAACAGCTTAATGTCCTGAACACTCTCAATGTCCTGCAGGAGCAGTGGGACATTATTTTTGCAACTTACAACTCAAATAATAATTTCTATGTCTGCCTAATGTACTGTCTTTGCCAACTGAATTCAGACAGGTACAATTGTTCATCTTGGTATAATGTTTGTTTACATCTCTGTGCTGTTACCTGTGGGAATGGGTGCAGAGGGGGAGAGTTCACAAAACTTAGGCAATATACGTTTTGGGGAATCACTAGAAGCTGAGACTGAGCTGGATTCAGCTAGAGTAAGGACTTTGGATGTAGTACATGTACTGTATCTTAGCCATCAGTACAGCCCTGTGTTCCAGCTAATTGAGATGAGTGGTAGATACAAGGGCACGAAGAAGTGCAGGGATAAGCCAGGTACAGCAGAGCAATCCATAGGATATTGATGAATGCTCCTTGACTTTGAAAACCAGACTGGCAGTGGTTTATTTCCCACTTCCTGTAAATTCTGCAGTATCATGTGATTAGTGTAAGCCCTTGAGCCTGGGAATGTTGATCTACTAAATGAATCGAGTAGGAGTTGATGTGCAGAAATACTTTTAGCTTTTCACTATCCTCAGTTTGTTCTGCTTTCCTCACATGCCCTCTTTTTTTTTTTTTTTGTTTTGTTTTGTTCTGTTTTTTTTATCGTCACAGCTATCCAGAAGGTTTTGGGGTGGATGCAAAACCAAAGCTGTCTTCCTATCACCAAATTTTCCTTGTGCCCAGTGAAAAGGAAAAGGGCAACCTGCCTACTCCAGATGATGGTAATTTATGGCACACGTTGCCTTTGGCTTACAGACCAAGAAAGTACCTGGCCTAAACAGTTACCAGAACAGCTTGTGCGTGTCCTGCATAACTGCCTCTTTGGTGTATAGGCACTGCGGGCACATCATAGAGAAAGGAGGGATGTGCTAAAAATCACTTTTGTTTGAGTCATACCTTTTTATTGAGAATTCACACCCCACATCCACAGGAGTAATAGATTTCAGTTTGGAGATCACTTCCCCATGTTGTGGGCAGTATTAGTGCCCAGCTATTTGTAGCTCTCTCTCTTTTTCAAGGCCTATACAGAGCTTGTGTCTATCTGATGTACACAGGAAGAAACATTTTGCTCTTTTAAGAGAAACACTGGAAAAAATTTTATGCTGGATTCACCGTTCACCAGTGGTCAGATGAACCCTACAGCAGAATGATGCTTTATATATATATATATATATATGTGTGTGTGTGTATATATGTATTGGCTTGGCTATGACCAGATAAGTCTGATTTGCAGGGAAGTACAGCAAAACAGCTCAGCACTTCCTTGTACAGCATCCTGTTGCTGTGTTGAATTGTTTCACGACTTGGTCACCTTGCTCCCACCATCTCTAATGATGTTTAGCAACGCAAAATAACATCCTTTGTGTGCTTTAGCACTCTATGTATGACAATAAGGTAATCAAAATTCTGATGAGATGCTTTTCCAGGGCAGAAACCAGTTAGAATCATCTGTCACTCCTATTTTTTTCTTTCAGGGAGTTGAAATACAGTAAAAGAAATGTCGTGCGTTTTTCTGTATTAGACTAACCAGTCTGGCTTAGAAGCTATGGAGGCAGTAGACAAAATGTAGCAACTCCACTGACTTCAGCAGTTACTCTGGACCAGTGCTGTTCCAAATTAGGTGTTTTTGCCTTGTCTGCTGTTTGACTTGCATAAAAAATGATTCTTCATTTGTAGTTTCTTTTGTTTCCTAGTCCGTCAGGAGATCCTGAGAACAGTAGAAATCATCTGGAAGCAGCTCATTTCTCAGAGGCAGCAGGCTCTGGAGGACACTTACAAGATGGATCTTTCTGTCAAAGGAAATGACAAAGAAAGGGACATGAAGAAGACAGAGGTCACTCCTTTATGGGAAGAAATTATGACAAAAGCTTGGCAACACTTGATAGGTCTCTGTTCAATACTCATTGTAGTAAGCAAAGACATTGCAGTAAATGTAGCGCTTCATGGAAAGCCACTGATTCCTTGGTTATACCCTTCCTCTGAACATCACCTGCTAGATAAAGCAGATTCTCAGTTTCTCATCCAGGATTGTGATTACTTCCTGTCTCATGCCCCAGCCCTTCTGTAGTCATCTGGTGATGTTGTAGGGCTTGTGCTGTACTGCAAGAGAAATTGTGGACAACCGTACCACATAGGAGAATTTAAAATGGAGGATATTTGGGTGAAGAAGGGCATCCCAATGTGTGTAGTGCTGCAAGGATTTAAAAATTCATGTCTGTATAATGACACAGGTCTATGTCAGACCTCTGTGAGGCTTTTAAATGAAGACTTGGGAAGTACATATTAATTCAGTGTTCCTCTTATAAACAGAAGGACAAGCCAGTTGGTGTGAGGCACTGCCATGTTGTGTCTTGTGTAATGTGGATACAAACCCTTCCCACAGGCCCAACTTCAAGTCTTACAAGCTCTTTTTTCTGTTCTGGCCCACAGCATCAGAAAAGAAGATTCTCCAGAATAAAGCAGGGCCAGGCCTGTCACAGAGCAAGCACAATTCCTGGAGTGAAAACCTCTCTTCAGCTATTAGACTGATGCCTGGCCGCAACACAAAGGAAACGGCATGCAAATCTGAGGTAACTTCTGCTTTTTCTGTTATGGGGCTCTGTTGCTGGCTCCACCTTTGATATGATTCTGGAGAGTTTGTCTGGACTTGGGAGGCTTCTGAGTAAGTCTGTTGACATATTCCATTGTAAACTAGACACCTATTTCAGTTAAGGTTCCTTTTCTAGACTGACAGAAACAATCACTAAGAAGCAGTCCTTGATTTGAAGAACTTTGGTTGGCAGCCTTAACAAATAATGTATTAATGCATACTTTTTGCATGAGGCCTAGTTGTGGCACTTGAAGGGAAAAATCTAGGCAACCCATGTGTGCTTGTGCTGACAGGGCTCTGCTGGGGTCAGAGCAAGGTGAGGAGATGCTGGCTCTGCTGCTGCTTTTGACTTACGTTGCTTATGTAAATCTTGTTCTTCAAACACTGAATTAGTAGAGGGGGTCAGGTATTTCCATGGTACTGTCCTTTCATTTTCTACTCAACATGAAGTATTAAAGGTCCAAATTTTAGTTTAGCCTCAAGAGATAAGGACACAACTGCTTATGTAAACCCAGAATGGGTCTGGAGGGTATGGGGTCTGGAGGGTATGCAACATCCCTGCTGCCAGCAATGCATCTGGACTATCTTTCCATGTGTAAGCTCCTCCTTTGCTGAGAGAGGGGGCTGTTTCCATGTTTTTGTATGGGCATTTATTGAGAATACAAATAACAAGCACCAGTTAGATGTTACTTGTTTAAGTGTTTTAGGGCTAGAGTAACAAGCTATAGAGTAGGGCAGCAGCACATTGACAGAATATTCAGAGCTTTGGACTGAGCTTGTGTTATTGCAGTGCTGAACATATTAAGATCTTTTTTTCTCTCCTGTTGAGGAGACAGTAAATCTGTTACAGCATCAGTTTAGGGAGTCTTAACCCTCTAGCTCAAGCTGTAGCAGGTTGCAGTTTTATGCCCAGTGATGACTGGTTCACTTACAGGTGTGTTGATCAGAAGGCTATGATACCCAAGTAATGTGTCTGATAGTACCTTAATGAGCTGCAGATTTTTTCTCAGCATGCCACAGAATCCTTCTTATTCCTTAAAATCACTTTGCTGCTTACAGAGTGAGCAAGTTCTTCCCAGGTACATATGTAGTCTGTGATGTCACACTACAAGAGCATCGACTATTTGCCCTGGGGTCTGTTTAATTATTTTTTAAAATTAATTTTGATTATTACAGCTGATTACACCTCAGTGAGCAATGTAATTGATATTTGTAAATGTATCCCAAGGAACATTTTGTACAACATGCTTTTTGCTGTTGAAGGTTAAAGACTCCGTTATTGGTTTTTCCCTAAATATGCCTACATCATTAGTTCCTCCAGTGAAAAGGTTGCCATCTGGAAAAGGTAGCACAGAGACATTATTCAGGCACAAATGCATGAAATTGATGTTTCTGCATCTTCTGTCTCTCTTCTGCAAGGAAGCGGCTTGTAATTAAAGGAGCTGAGTTTGGAGGAAACATTACTCATTTGGTGTTATTCCTTATCATGTCAAGGACTGACAGCTCCACAGCTCTGATAAATTGTTCCTCTCAGTGATGCAAAGCTGCACTTCCAAATGTTCTTCTCCACTCTCCCTCTCCTCCTTTCTCCCTCCAGCCTGTCTTTGAAAGACTTTGATGCACTTCTCAGAGAGATGAAATCTAAGGGGAAGAAAATTTCTTTGCTCACCAACAGCCCTCTTTCTTTGTATCCTTCACAAGCAAGGTATAAGGTGGGATTTTCAGTACCAAAGGAAGTTGGGAGCACAAATTACATTAAAAGTACATGGTATTTGTGCTTCTAACTCATACTTTTGACCTCACTTTGGTAGTCACTTAAAAAAGCACTGTAGTGTGATTTTGTATCATTTGCTATGTCTCAGGTGCCTTCCATATTCACTTGTGAAAAATGTTCAGATACTGGCCTCTGTCTTCACTACTGCTAGTTATGGATCTATGTCCTACAACAATAGGCATCTGGTTCAAACATTGAGGTAAAAGGAAAAGTAGTAGTGTGAACTACGTAGTGAGAAAAAAGCCTTTAAATCCCATAGTAAAATAAAAAGCTTTACATTCACTGAGACGTAAACACGGTTGTTCCTAACTGAGCAAAACTTATTAAATTTGAGGAAAATGCAGAAATTCAGCCAGGATTTCAAAGCTTTGCCCAGTAGAAAGAAGAAATGGGTTGGTTACTGGTTTATTAATTTGATTCTTTTATTGACTGAAAATAAACAGAAGTTGAAGCATTAGTAGCATTTGCTGCAGATTAAAAGCAACAACAAGAAACCCAAAAACCAAACAACTCCACTCAAAACTATCAACTTTTTCCCTGTTGTCATTTACAAGATAGCAAGAGTGCTTTTGAGACCCAATCCTCAATCTGGAAAAAAGAACAAGATTAAAACTGTTCACACACCAGCAAAGGATCAGGACTCATGTTTCTGCTGTACTTTCACTCAGGATCTCCAGCATTAGTGAAGCCAATTCCCTGTTATTTGGTGGCAAATGTCAGAATTTGCAATCAAATGCAGCTGTGTTTTACCCATATTTCTGAATCTACTTTGCTATCTCAGCCTCTGCTCTGGGCTTTGTCTGGAATGCATGATCATTCTGAAAGGAGAGTATGATCACATTTCTGGTAGTAGAAGGGCAATGATCTGCTCTGGTAATTTATATTTTTTGTTTTCTTGAAAGTTTGGGTAACCATGCAGTAGCAAGAGGGACACAGTACAAAGTCAGATATTTTTAATACTTATGGGTGACAAGTTGGGTAAGTTTGCCAGCAGGAGGGTCTGTAAGAATCTGAATACAATGTCAAAGCCAAATCATTGACTTTACTGTTTCAAAGCAAGCCTTTTAATCTCTTGCTCTTTCTTCTTCCTTACTGCTCTGGTCCCCCTCCCCACCAATTTTGCTTTTGGAATCTAGGATATGTATTTAATTTTTAGGTTAGCAATGACTGATTGTTTTTGTCATCTTCAACATGCTGCAAGAGCAGCAAGGGAACACCGTAACAATCATATTTCAGTAAATTATAAATTGGTCAACAGCTTCTACCATACAGTGTCCTGAGGTTCTTCCTTAGGATGAGTGCCCAAGCAAGGTTACAAGCAGCACACTCCTAACCACTGTGAGACACACTGCCTCAGGGCTGTAGATATAGCTTTATATTTAAAAGAAATGCAGAGCCTCCTGAGTTTTACAGCAGGCCTGATCATGCCTATTGACTCCTGTTTTGGTTCATTAATTACATTCCTCTATGCCAGAGGCTCGTATACCTTGAGAGAATTAAATAGAAAAGGTCTTTTTGATTCCAGTCTTCAGAATGAAGAAATTAACAGAGAACTCCTAACTTGTAACTGCAAAACCAGAAACTTTATGATAGGATATTGGCCAGCAAATGTACACTTGTAAAGACAGCTGTAGATAAGGAGCCAGCATCTGACCTCATTTATGCCAGTCTTGTCACTCTATTGTAGGAGATTTCTTAGTTAAGTGATGGGAGAATGCAGCCTTTGGACTCTTAACGATTTTTGAGCAGTTGGATGGATATCTTGGTGTCATGGTTTAACCTGGGTGATGGTGAAACACCATGCAGCTGCTCACTCACCCTCTCCCACCCCAGGGAATAGGGGAGAGAATTAAAGGGGTAAAGGGAAAGGAGACTCATGTGTTGAGATAAGAATAGTTTAATAACTAAAATGCAATAAAATTTAAAATAATGATGATGATAATAATAATACAAATCATATGGAAATACACAAAAGAGTGATACACAGTGCAGCAGCTCACCACCTGATGACCAAGGCCCAACCCGTTCCTGCCTAACATTCCTGGAGCAGAGAAAGTCCTGAAACTACAATCCTGGAAAAGAGAAGAGCCCAGGAGTCTGAAAAAGAGAGAGAGATTGCTACCAGACAGATATTCATCTATGTACTGGGCATGACGTGCATGATATGGCATGTACCATTGGGCAATTTGGGTCTCAATCCTAAACCTAAGGTTGAATCCTAAACCAGTAATTGTGGGCTATGCTCCCTCCTAGCTTCTCCTGCACCTTCACACTGGCAAAGCATGGGAAATTGGAAATGCCCTTGACTGTCCTGGCCACAGCTATAAGCATCAGTATGTTATCAACATTCTTCTCAGCACAAATCCAAAGCATAGCTTCATACTAGCTACTATGAAGAAAGTTAACTCTGTTCCAGCCGAAACCAGGACACTTGATTTCTGCTCTGCTGCCCTCAGTGTATGCAAGGTCACAGCAGAGCTAATGGGGAAAAACCAAAACAAAACAACAGCATTTAATGGTGTAGCTCTACAAACCACAAAATACTAGGTGTTAAGTTTGGCTTGACTGGGAGTGATTAATTTTTCTTCAGTTGGCTTTGTAATGAAAGCCCATCTCTTGTGCTTACTTTTGTAAGCAACAGGCAGATTGTTAAACCCACAGCAAATCTGTAAACTGCATCAGTGTGTCAGAAAGAGCCTCCTTTGTCTCTGTGGATAACTTTCTGAAGTCAGGAGCTCCAAGAAAAGACCTTTTCACTGAAACTTAAGTCACTATCAAACACAGAATCTACTTCAGTTCCTTTTGAAAATTCTTCCTCTTAATTGTTTCAATGTAATGTTTTATTTATTTATACTGATGGCTAAGCAGTTTTAATGTACATGCTGAAAAGAAACTGCAAGATCATTAACTCATTTTGGAAAGTGCGTTGTATGTCCTATTCTTGTCACTGAGTAAGAAGATAGTGATATGACCAAGGAGCATTTGATTTATGCATAGTTTCCTAACAACAGATTTCTTTGGTTAAAGTAATAGCAAATGTCTCTTGGGCAAGCACCACTGCAAGTTGTCTGTGGAGTTCTGCCTCTACAGTTAGATTCCCAAGAGGAAGAAATACAGCCTCTCAAATCTCTTCCAGGAGTTAGTTTATTTTGAAGTCTGAGAAAGACTGAGGCATGTTTCAAGTGATATGTTATTTCAAAGGCTTT